ATGAGCTGTGTAGAAAAAGTAGCACTGTACAGTGTATATTTTTATAGACAAGGGATGCTTAACAGGGTTTTAAAGAAGTAGTTTGTTGTAATCTCCTTGTAACAGTCTAGATTTAATGTTTGCTATGTGTTTAAAGTAATTAAATATGTAATTTTTATATCCCCTCCACCACACGCTCAAAAAAAGAAAGAAAAAAAAATAAACACTGAAAGATTCAGTGATAGAGTTGCCCTTAAATAGAATCTCATGCTAAAGGTTGAGAAAATTACTTATGGCTTCACTCTTCTAGTATTGTATATTTGGAGATTGGCATTTAATGTATTTCAATATCTTTGTGTAGGATGTGATGGGCTGTAAAGAACTTTGTCTACAAAACCGTTTATTTATTTTTCATCTTGCTTTGAAAATGTAGTTGTGACATTTTAAAGATGTGGGAAAGTGGGACTTCTTATCCTGTTCATTCTGGTTTTGTGCCAGTTATTGAAACAAAGATCTAACTTTCCGGTGTTGTAATTAATGTGATTTCTGATTATTTTCACAAGCATATCATGACACTGACTTCCAGTGAAGCTTATGAAATACATGACATGTAATTGGCTTGAAGTTGTAGCGCTTGCTCAAGTTCCCTCAGATATTATGTTTATGTAGATATCTATTTATACAAGGTAGGGAATGAAAAACTGATTGAATTGTGTGAAATCGCCCTATCTCTTATCTCTTGTAATATGAAAGAATGGTATGAATTATAAAAGGGCTTCGGAAATACAGATGCTGAGTGAATATCACTAGTGTTAATTTAAATGGACTCAACTAGCATCTGTCTTCGGTGCAGAAACTTAGTGCCTTTTAGGAGAAGTGTTAAGTCAGTGAATCAGGCATGTTATTTAAGTTGAGATTAATTTGTTAATTGTTATTATTATTTTATTTATTTATTTTTTAAATTTAGAATGGAGAGTCCTGATATCAGAAATGGTGGAGGTTCAGATTTTTTTAAATTATTATTATTATTATTATTATTATTATTATTATTATTATTTTATTATTGTATTATTGTTATTATTATTATATCATTATAATTATCATTATTATTGTAATTATTATTGTTATGATTGTTATTATTTCTTTGGTTTCCATGATTAGTATTGTGATTACTATGATTATTACTGTATGATTATTATTAATGTTATAATGATAATGATAATATTGATGATAGCAAAAACAATGACAGTTAAAATGATAATAATAATAATAATAATAATAATAATAATAATAATAATAATAATAATAATAATAATAATAATAATAGCCATTCTTCTTTTTTATTGTTATTGTCTATGAATTACATAGAGCAGTGAGTGGATACTTTCCTTTTGGACATTCACTTATCTTTCGTGAATGATGAACTGGAGATTTAAGGGTGAAGATATAGAAACACTGCTTTTACACCTGATTTGTGAATGCACTTGTGTGTGAATAATTTTATACACAATGGTTCTCCAGATGCATATCATGTAGCATGTATTAGAGTACAGTTTAACTTTGTTATTGGGCAGGATTTCCACTGTATTATTTAAAGTATGACAGGTTTTAATACAGACAGCACAGTAGACATGTAGACAATAACAGACTCAGTTGTGATCAAGCAACGGTGTGGTATTTGCGGCATGACTTGGGGGTTTTGTGCACAAATTTGGGGCACGTTTTTCACCCACTGTAATGTAATTCTTTGTTGTTTTTTTAGTAGAAGTATCTTAGTGGTGGAGGTGAAGGAAGGATGTAATTTCCTTCATTTATATTGTAGTGTTGTACATGGCTATTGTTTTTAGATTTTTTAAAAACTTTATTTATTGATATATTTATTTACTTATTTAATCTGTATTTATTTGATGTGATTACAGAATGTGCTTAAGATTCTGGTGTGTGCTATTGATTTAGTTGATTGACGTCATGTAACCAGTTACAGGATTTATCTAATTAAAAAAAAAAGAATTGAAGACACCAGTCATCAAAAAGTTTAGAACCAGTTGTCTTGTCAGGTTGAACTGGATTATAAATAGTTCTTTTATGGATTTTGTGCAATAATGGATACCTACCCTGTGAAGGAAAATTTAGAATGAATTTTGAAAAGTAGTTATGTTATACATTAGCTAATTATTTAATTTCAAGTCTGTCAGTGAAAATAGGGCATTATTAGATCAATTTCTATGTATTATGGCGATGATGGAAGGCAAGTCCATGCACATTTCCGCGTAAGACTCCAATTTGCCAGCAATAAGAGCTTTGGTAATGGTGGGGAGACCCATTTTGATTATATTTTAGTTGTTGACCTCTTATTTACAAAAGAAGAGGGCATTTTTCTGCCTTTGTCCAATAAGGAAGGAAATTTACCCATATCTTCAGATACCAAAGGCTAACCAGAGATATCTTGTTTTATTTCTGATTCACGACTTAAAGGAACAAGATATACTTATTGTGTTTTTGGACTAAAGAGGTGAAGAGCATGTGTTACAGTATTATATTTAATATGAAATGAATTGTGTAAAGTGCTTTCTCTTGAAGTTTGGGTATTGCTTAAAGTTTTTGAGTTTTGTGATTAGAAAGTTTCCTTAGGCATTAATGGGTTAGGAAATATATATGTATGTATGCATGTGTGTATGCATAGTTATATGCATATATGTATATGTACACAAGCACATACATGTATGTATGCATTTATAAGGACACAAAACATACATACATATGTCTACATATATAATGTTCCTATTCTTTCTTTTAGAATGTTAACACATCCTGATCCTCTATACACCCTATTTTACCTAATAGCAGTGTTGTTTTAAGAAGCTACCTTAAGTTACATAAAATAATTTGCCATTATTATTATTTTTTTTTTTTAACCAAAGGGTAGAAAAAAAAGAATATAAATGTGACCTGCAAATGGAATTATCGTTTTATGTGCCTTTTTTTGTAGATGTTCCTTCCTCAAGATACCAGTGGGATTCGATTTTCCAGATTTAGATGGAATCTTCGGCACTGCAGAAGTAATTCAGAAACCATGGTTGTATTGTGATCATGATTGCTAAAACTTGGGTTATGTGCTGGATTTTGATAGATGAAGATGGCATTCCTTTATGGGCATTTTTTTCTACATTAAGGTGACAAGATTGTGAAAAAAGACAAAAACAACAACTACAACCACTACATACAACAGCTGTGTGTCTTTTCAATTGATTTTTAAAGAATATTTAAGACATAGAAAGCCTAACAAACAACTGTTTTCCAGGGATCTGTCAAGCTGAAGAAAATATAAGTTTTGTTTTTAAGAATAATGAATAATAATCATGCAAGATGTTCAAGTTTTGAATCACAAGCTACATAATTGTTATAAGGAAAAAATCCAAGATCTACTTATTCAAGAAAAGAGAAGAATTTCATGTCCTGAAGAATGGAAAATTAAAGAATGAGTGCATGGTTGTTTGTGTGTATGTATTTTAAATACAGAGAAGAAAGGAATAATTTTTTTGCCATTTATTTGCTTTTATTATTATTTTCTTTAAGAAAAAGAAAAAAGTTGTTTGGTGTCTAAATTAGGTTTGTTATTTTAAATGGTGAACATTATTATTATTTTATTTTTCTTTAGATGAGGAATTTTTCTAAAAGCTAATTTGCAAGAAATTATTTGCTCCAGCAGATATTTAAACATGAAAAGGAACTGATATAATAGCACTGCACTGTATTCTATAACAGATATTATTAGCAAGTAATGTATGTAATCTAATAGTTTCCCTTTCAAGATTATCAAATTCGTTTGTTTCATATTTCAAAAAGGAACCTTAAATGTTAATAACTTTTTCATGACAATTTATTCAAATTTTGGACTTCTGTGATTGCCTTTACAAAATATTATTATTTTTCAGAAGTGCACAATAATTATGAATGAAAATAAGTATGAACACAATATAATGTGTGAAAATATTGTACAGTAGTAATAAGGCTATAATTATTTAAATATATTTTGATTGGTGGTGGTTATATTTTATATGTTGTTTCAAAGAGTGAAAATTTTATATTTTATTCTCCCTTTTTTTTGGTAAGTGTTACCAAAAAAGCCATCAAGATTGTGATTGCAACAAATAAATATTTGTGTATCAAAGCAGTTGCTTTATTTTCTTTGTTACTTTTCACGTTGCCTCTCCTTTGATCAGGATGCTGAACACTACTACTTCCCTTTCCATTCCCAGTCACCCACCCTTCATCCAACCTAGAAAACATGCCTTGCAGTCTCCCAACATCCTCCATTTCATCTCCTCATCCTTCACATTCTTCATTTTCATTTTACTACTCTCCATCTCCCCGCTGCACAACCGCACTCAACACCACTCCCTCTTCCACCTGTTCTTGTTCTTTAAGTACTGGAGTATGTACTTTTTGTAATTTTTCAATGAGACTCCACTTACGGCAGCTATGGAAGAAAATGGATATTAAATCTTGGAGAACAGAAAAGTGCAGCATCTGGAGCAAGGATGCATGTGAAAAAAAAAAGAATGAAGACAATGTCAATGCAAAACAAAAAAATAAAATGCCTTCCCCTCCACTGTCAGTAATAATTCAAAATTCAAATCTTTGATCACAAGAGGCAGGATTTGAAAAGAAAGAAAGAAAGAAAGAAAAAAAAAATAATAAAAAAAAAAATAATAAAAAATAAATAAATAAAGGATAAAATAATGATATTTTCCCCAACCAATATTTACTGTGACTTGTCAAACTGAGTGTTTCTTTTTAGAGTATAGTACCAGTAATATTATTATTCAATATGTGAAAGAATAAAGGTAAGGTGACAAGTTTTTAAGAGGTAAATCTTAATCACAGAAAGGTTTCCTGAATGATTATTTTTTTTATGCCAAATAACGTCAACCCTTTATAGACCACAATGATTATTTCCTTGGCCACTGAGAGTAATGCAACATCAAGAAAAATAGGATTCTCTAAACTGAGCTAAAAAAACATTTTAAGTAGGTTTCACTTAAGATTTCTTGCTATGAGGCTAAGAACTGCACCATTCGCTGCTTAAAATGACTGCTAGAGTTTGAATGTCAAGCCTGAAAAAATCTACAATTACTCAAGTATTTTCCACTAAAACTTTTTTGAATAAATATATCTACCAAAACATCTTTCCAAAGCATAATATTTTCTCCTATATGCATATACATTGCCTCTAAAACAGTGATACAGAATTCCAATTGGCAGCCGTTACACACTGAAGCGCTATCAAAACAAATGAACATCACTTAATTAAAATGAAGGCCTACTCATTTCCATATATACAATTTTATGAAGTTGAAAATAATAGTCACTTAATATAATATCAATAGAAGAATGTTAACGGATATTTTGGAAAATTGCCTTCCTTCAATACACATTGGCTGAAGTATTTTCCATGTAAAAACACTAATAATAACATTAATAACAAGGATGCATATACAGATGTTGATGACAATATTCAATTCAGACTTTTCAACTTGAAATATTCTCTGTTTCATTCAATTGTTGATATATTCTTCATTCAGACAGACGAGTGGTTTAAAAGTAAGAAATAAATTGTTCATCTTATAATGATTTATGACTTATAAAAGAAAGAAAGAAAGAAAAAAATCCCATGATTTCCTTATCTCCTTTAGTTTTCAGTTAATTTCAACTGCTTTGAATATATTGTTATGGAAATTACGCCCACATTTAAAAGACTGTAACCTCTACTGTACACAAACGATGCTGTTGCCATGGTGACGGTACACAGCTTGACTTAGCAAGCAAAAGTCTACCCATCTATGGAGGTTGCTTAAGAAAGCAAGAAAAAGCCTTGAGATTTTAGGCTAAAAATTTCCCTGCTTAAAATGCCTCAAGTTGCTATTCTGTACATTCTACATGTCTATCGTGTATAACTTTGAACAGATTAAAGCATGTCCACAAAAATATCTACCAAACCATTTCATCTGTATTTTTGCAAAAGCCAAATTTAGTGTTTGGTGTGAATGTTACAAAATGGTTAATAACACAGAATCTGGAATCAGTCAGGGTAAGTGAATGAATTCCTGTTATTTAGTAATATATGTGAAGATTGATGTGTGTGTGCTCTTGTGATAGGAAATACAGAAATAATACATTAAATATTTGGCAAGTACACAAATATTTACTGTCATGATAGCCCTTTCAGAAGGTAAGAATTCATCAGATCTGGTTTAAAAGGATCTTAATTTACTCTGCCCTCTTGAAAGTTGATCAAAATGAACGATGAATTTGTCATGTGGGTAACAGTGGGTTAACCCATTCCCTATGGTATGCATAAACAGTTAGCTAGTCTGAGGGACAGGTTTGTCATCATGCCTTCCCATCCAGCATGCCTTTGGCATGTTAGACTTGATTACTTGGTTAGTTATTTACTCATGTAACATTATTTATTTACTCATTTAAGTAACCATTACTCATTTACTCATGTAAATAACTGTTACTTAATTACTAATGTAAATAACCAAGTCCAAGCTGCATCTGCAGTGTGGCTCAAGCTGGCTATGACTTCACTACATGCCATTTGCAGTGAAGCTGAACTGTGCCATAGCATCACTTCATGTCAACTGCATTGAATGGGTTAAAAAGAAAATGCAGGCTAGACTACTAAGTCAAAATTTCTAACCATATGAACAAAAAAATGGAATCTCTTAACAGATGATAACGATAATTTTTACCAATGCTCAATGCTTTTCAGTCCATTAATTATCTCTTTTATAATCATTTTCTGTAGTACACTGAAAATGATACTTTATAATAAAGTATGGAGGACTGAGGGGAGAAATTTAAGACAACTTTAAGTGTGTTTGTTAACAATGGAACATTATCATATTTTCTTTCATTCATCTTACTATGCCTTTCTTCTTCACATGCAAAAGGTATTAAATGGCTCAGACCTCGATTTTTTTTTATTGATAAATATACACAGAAAAATATGTGAAAGGTGTTCTTTGCATGTTCACAAAAGGTCTAATACTAATACTGTTTTGGTTTTATCAGGATGGGTTTCATCATTACTGAGAAATGCAAACAACAGAGAGAAAGAAACATATTTATGAAAACAATATGTATGTTGATTTTTTTATGATCTATTTTTGACATTCACAAGTATCCGTGTATGTAAAACATACTAAATTTTCTTGGCTGCATATGGACATCCTAAACATCTAAATGAGGGAACAGGTATCTGAAAATAAAGAAATATTTGGTAGAGCAACTAGTAAAAAAAAGAAAAAGAAAAAATATTCTCAAGAACTAATAGAGATATTTATGGTTTTGTTATCTTTTCCCACTGAAACATAAGGCTAAAATTAATATAATATTAATATGGATTAGGAATTATAAATGTTAAAAAACAGGTTCTCTTCTAACAGTAATAGTTAAATCTATATAATACCCTTATAAAATACTAACTGTTGTACAAAAATCTAATGGTTCTTAGAGTGATATTTTCATCATCATTGCCAACTTACAACTACCAAGAGAGATACTTTTACTTATGATCAAATAATTCCAGAAATATATAGTATCAATAGCATATAATGACTAAAACAGAGCCCTATTACACTCCTCTGAATTCTTAACATCACGAGTACACTGGTTCAACCTAAAATACTGTTAAAAATACCAAGTAAGCCAAACATTTCAAGCTAATTTTTTTTTTCATCTCCTATCTTACTTTATGTTTCTCACACAGCTCATCAACACTCTTTAACAAATATTCTTTCATTTCCCAGCTACTTAAACTTACCCCAGTCTGAAGAAAAGCCCAGGAAAAAATTGTGACTGCCCGACCAACCAACCTGACACAGCTAAGAGACAGGATTGGCTGCCAGCCGATGCTCCTTCAGTGTGTCTCTGAGGGAAGCTTCTTGTGCTGCGATGGCTTCCTGCTCCACCTCACCCCAGCTAGGGTGCCAAAGCCTCGAGGAAATACGCTCCAGGCCTAGTGCGTACACCGAGTGGCATGGAAGCACGCTCTTCTGGACCTGTTTGTGGGAGGGGGAAATGGTGCTATTATCATCATCTATGGAGAAATCTTATTAAAAACCAACATTATGTGGGTATTTCGGCACTGATACCTCCTTGTACGCTAAATATCTGGTATTACAGAAAAAGACATTTTCTTGTGTAAAATTGAGCTTCTTGACCACAGACTAAATTTACACTCTGTTAAAGTTAAAATTTGGGGTTGAGTTAACCCCTTGCCAATGGCAACCTCCCTTGTCAATCTAGGTCTGGTTGCTCAAACAAAAAAATAAAAGCCTGGGAACTAATGTTATGGCTGAACCATATATATGATTTTTTGATTAAAGAAATTTTAAGCCTCCTTTAGGAAGCTGTGTCTCTTCAATAATCGATGATGAACAACTGTTTAGCATGGACATTTGGTACTTCATGGCAGGAATAGATAACATCCAATCAACCCTAAATCGCCCAGCATGATGAATTTGTCATACGAATTTCCATTGGTTTTCAATGGGATATTGTAGGTTTAGTACCTTCTGTGTCAGCTTTGATGAATTCCTTTAAAGGAGGACAAGGGGGGGACTGAGGCTTTGAGAGATAGTTTTGGATATATCTCAATTAAATGTTTATGGCCAACACGGTATATGACTTTACCCAGTGGTCAAATGTTGATTTCACCATTTTGCAGAAAAAGGGCAATAATAGTAAGATTCTGAAGAATTATGGAGTCTGAACCATTAAAAATGTAAACCTAGGATGAAAGAAAGGGAATACCACTGATGCAATGCTTAAAGTTTACATTGAGCTCCAAAGAATTCTCCAGTTTACAAATGGATTATTCATTTCATCCATGGGTCGGAAAAGGTGGAAGATCACTGTTACAAATATATATCTGTCTATGGTCTGATGAATTCCTGCTATTTACAGCTGTCTCATCTGATCATCACTGCTGAATGCTTCCCATGGTGGCCAGATTGTCTTTAGGTACTTACACTTCTACTGAGTTGCTGTTAGGCTTAACCTCTTTAGCAGCAGTATTTTGTGGTCCCTAAAATGCAAGTGATCACACCTCTCAGAGTAGTGCAACCACGTGGCTTTCAATATGCTACAAAGCTCACAACAGCATTGATCATAAATGATACATCCCCATTTTAGAGATTGTGAATTTTATTTATTCATTTTTCCTAAGAGTATAAATTTTATTCTTACCCAGTTTGGATGATCCAGCTCATCAATTTCTTATTTTATTGGTTTATTAGTCTCTTATCTTTGGATAGAAATGTTTCTTCCCCGTGAAAAAGTTGCCATGTACTGTGCAACACCCAAGATGTAATTCTGGAGGAGAATGGAACAGGTCTCATTCTGTTTAGAAAGTCTATGAATGTCTTCTTCATATTACTTTATTCCATTCTGACCTTGTAGTCCTTGCATTCTGAAGTTATAAATAAATAAGAATAAAAATGTAAAGATAAAACAAAATACTGTGGATGTCATTTTTAAAATTCTGATCAAAATGAATCATCTCCTTAGCACATAATTATGACATAGGCTTTGTGCAATGCAATCATAGTAATGTAATGCATTAATCGGATCTTAATATTTGCACACATAAAGTTTACTCCATTGTCTTTACATATTTATTGTTTTCTTTTAAGTACATTCCTATACACATCAACTTCATATTACTTTATTCCATTCGGACCTTGTAGTCCTTGCATTCTGAAGTTATAAATAAATAAGAATAAAAATGTAAAGATAAAACAAAATACTGTGGATGTTATTTTTAAAATTCTGATCAAAATGAATCATCTCCTTAGCACATAATTATGACATAGGCTTTGTGCAATGCAATCATAGTAATGTAATGCATTAATCGGATTTTAATATTTGCACACATAAAGTTTACTCCATTGTCTTTACATATTTATTGTTTTCTTTTAAGTACATTTCTATACACATCAACTTTGGCTTTTTGGGACACAGACTCCTTAATATATGAAGAATGCCTATCAATGAACTCTTGATATGTAAGTGCCAGTGGTTAACGGGGAGGTTCTTGCTTCTTCATTATAGAGCTGCAGAACTCTATGCTGTTATCTTGTCTTGCTCTATCTTGAAAAATCAGCTGAATGGCTGCTTGCTCTGTAAGTCCATCACCAAGTTCTTTCTCTCCCTTGAATGCCTATGTGGCTAAGGACCTAATTTAGGATGATGCCTTGACCTGACCACAGTGAGAACATTTGATTTGCTTTGCTGCAGGTTCTCTCTGTTTGCCCTGGAATCAGTATATATGACAATATGTCTCTCCTTCCACATGGCTCAGTGCTGTCATATCTGTAACAGCCTCTGTCTGTGGCAATGAGGCACTGACTGGTACTAGCAGCAAAGGTGATGGAGTTGAATGACCTATCCATGGGGGATATGTAAGAGATGCAATGATCCCCTCCACCTCTGCCTCTAGTTAAGGCAGAAGATACTGACTCTTTTCTTTTCAATCTCAGAGGAGGTGGGAGACACCCAGGATCTAGTTAACCCACCCGCGCAGGGGTACATTTTGTAGCCAAAATTAAAAAAATCCGGGCAGCTACAAAATCGGCGGGCGGTGCTTCCCTGGAGTCTGTCCGCCCGCCCGGCCGCCCGCCGCTTCTGCCGCGGAGCACGGCTCCGAGACAGCATCGCACTGGCGGGCAGCCCGACACTGTTTATTTTTTCCCTGTGTCTCATATATGTGACACCCGGGACGAATGGGTTAGAGATGCAATGATCCCCTCCACCTCTGCCTCTAGTTAAGGCAGAAGATACTGACTCTTTTCTTTTCAATCTCAGAGGAGGTGGGAGACACCCAGGATGGAGAAAGTCCTCAATTTTATCCAATAACAACTCTCCAAATCAATACCATATTGGTACATTTACTGTGTCAGACACCAAGGCTTAACCTATTTTATATGGTGTCACTGATGCTGGCGTCATGAAGCACCAGTGGAACATATGGTGATGCCGATGTTGGTGTCATAATTCCATTTGATTTAGTTGTTGCTGAGTGATCCCTATTCTGTACTGGATCTATTTTTAGACTCCATATACTGCCCTAGAGATTCTGTAGCTCCACTCACCATCCCTGTTTCTACCAATCATGTACATCAACTAGATATACATCACCCCATACCCAGAATGAGGAACTATCATTGGCAGACAATACATCATAGTTTCAATCTCTGTCCTCCATATACCCCTATTCCTTTATCTCTCCCCATACCCCTCCACCAGGAATGGGAGACTGTATGGGGGTTACACTTCCCCCTCCCTGGTTCTTCTCTTGTCCTCATACTCCCCCTCTCCCTCTCCTTCATTTCTCAAACATTTTACACCAAATATCTTTGAACAATTTCATATTGGGTAAAATGGGTAATTATGAATAAATATTCTACATTTAAATAAAGAAAATTGGATAAATGCAAAAGTAACAACTCAATAAAACCGAATGAATAAATATAAATATAATACTGAAAAAACAAATGAAATCATTTTTGTAATAATAAAGAAATGTCTAGTATGAAAGACAATCTATAATAAAAAAAACATATTTTGTAAGACATAAAATATTTAAATAGCAAACTCCTATCTTCATTTCTCATACCTGCATATAACAGTAATACTATACAAAATGTCCTTTCAAAGACATTAACACACTGGCAGTGGAGCGTGTATACTGATATGGTGCAATTGGGCTACACTACAGAGAGTATGTAGTGATGTCATAGCCACCTTTAACTGCCCCATGGAGCGAGTCTGCTTTTCATTGCAAGTTCAATGTCACCCCCATGCCACACTAAGGAGACATAGCATCAAGAAGCTGACTTGAGCCTTCCATTCTTTCTTGCTTTTGGAAATGAAGGACAAAGAGATCGACAAACAACCAATGCAATATGTTAAATATGCCAAACAAGCCAAATTAGTCTGTGGAGACAACCAATGCATGATCACAAACCCACCAACGGACCAGCCTACTATTTAGGCATTTGAAGCAAGTGGGTTATAGTGTCTCTCTTCATGTTTTATTGCTCTGTTTAGCCCTCCTTTAAAAAGAATAGATAAATAACAAAAAGAAAAAAAAGAAAAAAAATAATAAAAAAGAAGAAAAACAAAGAAATAAATGAAATCTTTATTACACTGAAACTTGTATAGACTACCCAATTACATAAACCCTATGCATATCAACAACACTAAAATCAAATTATCGTAACACAAACAGATAATCAAATGGCGGGAGAAAAAATGAATAACTAAAATTGATAGAAGACAGAAGAGAAGAAGATTGCTATTGTCAACAATAACTCTGTCTATGGGCTAATCAGATTCCAGATAATAAATATCAGCAAAATCCAATCAAGCTAAACTAAACTAGAAAAAAAATAAAAGGGAAAAGATGATGATGGAAAAGAAGGAGAAGTAGAAGGAAATGAAAGAAAAGAAAGGACGAGAGAAAAGAAAAGGGAACCCAAACATCACAAAATACCCCATTACCTGCAAAGCCTCAAACAAGTCGAAGCAATTGATAGGAGGAAGAGGATTCTCAACTGGAAGCGCGCAGGAAGCCAAGTGTGCTGCGTTCTGGTCTGCCGAGTCCACAGTTGGCCAGATGGGTCGGTCACCCAGCTCCCCTCCCTCGCCCATTGGGAGGCCCAGGCTAGAGGAGATAGAAGGTTTTAAGTGTTTAGCAATATGTAAATACAGGGAGATTTTTTTTCTTTTCTTTTTGTTTATCTATGCCAATTATATCAATTTTCATCAGCCTGTGTCTGTTTCTCTACTTCTCTGTCTATCAGTGGCTCTCTCTTGTAAAGTATGCTTAAAGTAAAAGAATTATGATAATAATAAGAAGAAAGAAGGGAGGAGGAGGAGGAGGAAGACAAAATTTTGATTCCTGTTAACTTATAAGCTATACCCACCTCTCATTCGTCCAGTCATTGAGTGAAGCAGTGTTCCTCAGCCAGGGATTCGGAGGTGTTGTGCCCAGGGAGTGAATGAAACGCCCTTCCCTCATGCGATACCCACGACGTCTGCTTACCGTCGCCATCAGGATGTTCTTCAGACATTGCTGGAGTGGGTAGAAGATGGCTTAAAATCCCAAATTCATTTCTTTATGCATATCTTAATTTTCAATTCACAATTTGTTTGAACATGGATCCTTAATTTACTAATAATGCTTCACTTTTTTCATCAATTACCTTTATTTTTTTTTCTTTTTTTGCATAAATAGAAATATGAGCAGTTAAATGATTAGTACTCATATGCAGATAAAGAGGATTCCTGAACCACAATTCAAATATCTACATCTAGTGCTGTACACTCCAGCATGGGAATATAACAAAAGTACCAGTGAATATCACATAACCATAGGCAAAAGGAACTTGGATAAATGAACCAAAAGAAAATTAGATTTTAAAAAATAAGGAAATTAAGAGAAAGCATAAACACATTGACAAAAAAAGGAATCACTTAATGTCTGAAATACTATTCTGATATTGAAAATAAGACCAACTTTCAACAATACTCAAAATGTAGCCTAACTAGAAAAAATAAAAAACAAAAGCACACATAAACCATACATACCATATTTGACAGAGTATCCATTCTACTACATTGTGTGTCTTGGAAAACTAGTGTGACAATGGAAGCAAAAAGAAAATCCTACAATAAAAAGTATCAAATGACATGTATTGAATGCTCTTACTCCATCATGTGGTAGCCCTTCTTATCTCGTCTTCACCAAACCCTATCCCAAGCCCCTCACATTCCTGTTATACTGTCATCTAATTAGGAGATGTGGCACATTAGCATACAAATGCAAATAGTTGCCTTTTAGGAATCTGTAGATCAAAATGTGTAAGATGAGAACTAAAAAGAAAACAAAGGAAAGCCTTTATTTCCTGTCCACATTCTCCCTCAGCGCTGTCTATATAATGGACCCTCATTCTTATGGGGTCACAACACTGGTTAATTTGATAGGTCTAAATGCATTAAAAGGATTTGTTATTTAGTTCAAGTTCTCTTACCACCTTCTGGATGAAGTTAGTTGACATCATCTATGTCAGTATTTCAGGCAAATGTAAAAATGATACAGTTAGTCTCTGAACTTGATAACATAACAAACCTGAAAGTCAGTAAAGCTGAACACTAACAATCAACATCAACAAGACAATATAAAACCAGTTCTAAAAATAGGGACAGACTCCTAAAATACAACAGAATTAAAATAAAGTAAAATAAATTCCTAAAATACAAAAAAATAAACCTCACAAAATGATTGAACATCCTCCACTCAAAGTAGAGCTCTCAAACACATACCTGAGTGGCCTCTTGCAGAATGTTGGCAACATTGTCCCCTACTTGCGTGATGCCATGGTCCCATGCTGCCAACAACAAACGACCTTTGAGGGGCCCTGTATCCAGCAGGCACAAGGAACGGGAAAGGTAGCCAGCCCCCGAGTCTATGATGGCCTGGGGCTCACGCAGGGTGGCCGTGGGGGCTGTGTCTTGGACTGTTACTGGCTCAAAATTACCCTGGAGATTGCGAGTCATGTAATGCTTTGGATCAGTGAGATCGGCACAGCGGGGAGAAATGTGTAAGTCTAGGCAGGAGTTAAGGGTGAAGTGATTCCATGAATGTTCACTAATTATGAATGATGATGACAGTAACAATAACAACAGTAATGATAACAATAATAATAATAATAATAATGATAAAAATATTAGTAACAATAACAATAATAACAATAATACCTAATCAATAAAAATAATAATAGTAATAATTAAAATAATCACAGTAACAATAATGATAATAATAACAACAATAACCAAAATATTAAAACAATAACTATAACAACAATAATGTCAATAACAATAACTAACAATGATAAATGATAATAATAATAATAACAATAATAATAATATTATATTATATTATTATTATATAATATAATATAATAATAATAATATAATAATAATAATAATAATAATAATAATAATAATAATAATAAATAATAAAATAATAATAATAACAATAATAAAAAAACAAACATTGATAGTAAAAATAAAGTAAAAAGTGAAATCACTCTTTCATTCAGCATTCATAGTCAAAGGAATTCAAGTCCTTACTAAACAATAAATCGCTCATACTATTCTGGAAATGATGCAATTACACTGCAGTTACACTGAGCCTATAACAATAGTGTATCACAACCAGACATCCTTTCACATATTCCCTCCCCAGAGTCCTAAACTTTTAAAAACTATAACAACTATGGTAATAGCTCTTACATCATGTGTTGGCCGTGAAACTTTGTTCTTCTTCTTGGGTTTAATCTTTTTCCGCTCAACAGCTGGAGCCGAGTATATGTTAAGAGATGTATTGTGATCCCGCATGTTGGAGGTGCCTTGTCCTGTGTCCACTCTCTGTGTTTGGCAACAATACAGATTATTGGTAAAATAATTAAAGTGAAAGGTAAGAATATCAGAGAAATAACCAATTGCAAGATTATCAGAGAGAAATTATGACAGAACATGAATATCATAGAGCAATTCCATTAATAATTCTAACACCCACCTGTTCTTCATGCCTGTGGTACGACTCGGAACGTGAAGTAGAGGAAGAAGAGCTAAAGAGCTGGCATTTTGTTAGGATGGCTAGGAGGAATTCGTTGTGCAGGTGTACAGAATCAATCGCTAGAAGTTCTCTTGCTAATGAGTCAAATTCCTCCTTTGACAGCTGTTGGTAAAAGGTGATATCAGTTTAATCATATCTCTATGACTCTTGTTTCATTGAATAAATTTATAAATAAAAATTAATAACACTAACATCTGAATTTTGCATTCAGCTTTCAGTAAATATTTCTAAATAATCCATCAGCATCTAAGATATACAAAAAGGGATGAACAAAGCAACAGCTCTTTCTTTTTCTCTTTCATTTCGCATGTTAAGAGAAAATCTTAGTCTGTACAGCTTAGCATTTAGAAATTAAGTTTGGTATAAAGACTCACATACAAAAGAGATAAATAATAATAAAAAAGGAGGCAAACTTTGTTTTACAACCCACTCCAATTCAAATCTTAAACCACATTCTTTAAAAATCAAGTTTGACAAACTGACTATTTTTGAAATGCATCTGAAAAAAGTACGCCCCCTTCATCAATGTTTTGCATTCCGTCATGAGCCTTGTATAACAGTAAATAATGTATTTGGTAAATCCTCTCATTTCTGATGAGTTTACTATCTAGCTTGAATATTCTATCCTATGCCTTACAGAAAAATCAAGAATGCACCCACTAGAAATAATCTTATATTTACTTTTATTTTATTACTATTATCTTCATTTATTATCTATCCCAGGTTAAATTCTGTCCATGCAAATGTAGTTCTCGGATAACTTTACGTGCACTCTTAGTTCTTTTTTAAATCATCTTCCGCGCATCAAATTCTATTGATCTTTCTGCGCACTTATTTCATCATTCCTCTGCAAATCCGTCCGTGCAAATGTAGACAAAATGATGATTTCCATACACGAAAAAATGTAATATTCTCCGCGCAGGAAAAATACTCTACAGTCTGGTATCTATCTATCCTCTTATACATAACTTTCATTATTAGACTTTTTAAGGAAATAATTTTTCCCAAGCCAGAATTTTCAAGCAAGATTTCTATACCCGCAATTTTTTTCCATATTGAATTTCTGCACAGATAATTTGCAATTTTGCCCACAATAGAATCAATAAAATAATAAATTTCAAATCAGCACAGTCACTCACTGCTTATATCTATTTGTTAATGAATATGATGCTGAATAACTGTTTCAACAAAGGACATTTACTTCATTCTTTGGTTTGTTTTTTGAAAGCCCTGTTTATGCCTAAAAGGTAGCTACACTTTTGGCACAGTTTTACATTGAAGAATAAAATTGCACTTTACAAATCTGACATACTCTTAATTTCAGACATGAATACATTAATGGTTCCATATCACAAATAACGAGAATAATGGAAATCATTTATGTGACTATTTATACAAAGTAAACTGGAAGAAATGCAATGTATAGTGTTTAGACATATTAATATCTTTACACACACCACATAACAGTATTTGACATTTTGCAAGCATGTATTACACTTGTACACCATCAAAACTAACCGAAACAAATAATTCCACATCAATACAGTTTAAAACCAACGTGAAACAAAACTCGATAAAAAAAATCCTCACCTTCATTCTGAACCACTGTTTCATGTGATGGAAATATTTCTGCTTCTTCTCCGAGCCAAGGGCCTCTACCAGTCTCTTTCTCGCTGAATTCAGGTGATCTGGAGACGTCGACATATTCAGCTGATTGTGGTATATATCAAAATATTACAGAAAGAAGGACTTGCTGGGAATTGCCCGACAGCTTGCGAATACAAGCGAGAGTTATGGCTTATTTGG